GGCTAGGCCTAGCCTAGCAGCGTTGGATAGGCTAATGTTTTCGGCGCCTACGATATTTCTTCTCACGACCTATCGCAAAATCAAACATGAACAATTCATCCGCATTTATTTTTTGTGTGGAACACAAAAAAATCAAATTTCAGTCTTATTTTACATTTTTTTCATTCTTAGTATGTCTAAATTCAGTTAAACTAGCAATTCCATATTATATTTATAAATCTTTATAACATTATACAAAAATTAGATTTTTGCCCCATTCCCCCGGGAATGGGGCTTTAATGTTCTTATCCATAATGTGCATTATTTGACTCCATTGGAAACTGACTGGACTCATTAATTCTGACTTTTTGGATCACAAATCATTTTTTATCTTTTTTGCTTGTCAAGCATCAAATAAATTCAATCAATCAATGAATCATGGAGATTAATGCAGCCAACAACTATGGGTGTGTTTCTACTGATAAACACAAAATAATCGATTTTTTAAACTGCTTTTTTAATGAGTAGCAGACAGCCTGCTCGCGTTGCAACTGCATTTTTTATTTTTTGAAAATCGGTTTTTGTGACGGAAATTACGTCACCATTTTCTTTATACAACACGTTGTTTTCCTAACTGTATCTTTCTCATTCCTGTCATGATGACGAGGAGTAAGATACGGTGTGGGGCGAGAAGGCAAATGTTTTCGGCTGTGCTCATCGGCACAATGTACGAGCGACCAAACGAGGACAACGGCAGGCCCAAAAGAACGGAGAAGCCTAGGCCCAATATCCCCCACAAAATTATTACAAAACGAATTCGTTGCTCCACATGTTTGTTGACGTTTTTAGCTTGTAGGGAAACATGAACAAGAGGACAAATTTTTTCGCAACTAATACGATCTAGTCTTTGCAGTGATTGACCTGCAGGTCACATTTCACCTGATAATCGCTTTTTTTGTGTTGCAGCTAAAAGGTGCACAGCCAAAATCGGTTATTTGCCGTTCAAACACGCTATCCATTGCATGTTTTTTAATCGCTTTTTTCAAACTAGTCCCGTTTCTACTGCGAGAATAACAGCAATTTTTCGAAAAAGCGATTTTTAATCGAGTATTTCTTTCCAGTAGAAACAGGCCCTATGAGCCACCAGAATTCACCTTCTTTATAATTTCTTTTTCAGTTGTTTATCAACAATGAGTTTGTTAATTCTGTGAGTGGAAAAAAGTTTGCTACCATCAATCCTTGCACAGGAGAGAAGATATGTGATGTTCAAGAGGGTGACAAGGTAATCATAAACAATAAAGAGCCTCTTAAACATATGTTAAACATAAACTACAATACGTAGTAGTAGGATTGGATAGGAGTATTTTTGATGTGAATCGCACAAAGGAAAACCCACTATTAAAGTCCGAAGACTTGTTTCCAGTTGGGTCCTTCTGGTGGTGACTTGGGCAGTGCACCGGGAGACAATCCCCTACTCTTCTTTAATGTGCACTTACAGTATTATGCACACCAGACCAACAGCTTAAACCTCTCTTCCAAAAGATGGTGCGCTATCATAACTTGGTTTTCAGCCCTCCAGCTGAGATACAAGGAGAGCAGCGATGAGAATGGAACTGGGGACCTAAGATCTTCACAGTTAAACGCGCACACGGTGGCTACCACCAGTTTAACTGACTACTGTAAGCTAAGCCGCTTCAGGCAAATATATCTAAACTAAGGCCACAATGCATTACCATTGTCAAATTCAAAAGTCTTGGAATGCATACCACCAGATGTTGTGAGTTCAAATCCAAGGAAACATATTATCAAGGAATTTTAACTGTTACCAGGATAGGAAGCTGGCTGGTTTAAGCCATCTAACTTGAATTAGCCTTATGTGTGGTATTTTTATGCTAATGAGCCAGATAAGCACAATCTTCACATGCTCAGAAAAACAAAACATTCCTTCCACACTGCGTATCGGCTAGGCGGCAGCCGAGAATTACGGTACGGTAAAACAAAGCAGAATAAGGGTACTAATTTCACTTGGCATGCAAATCAATCATACAGTACTTACACACTTAAAAACAAACTAATCTACCAATAAAATCACCTGCTAGTTAAGATATACTGTAAGGCAAGTATGTTCACAAATTTGATTTTAAAATGTGATTTTGTTTTGTAGTAACATCATATAGGCTAGCCTAGGCCATGTCTAACCGCTTATAAAAATTCAGAAAAAAGACCCAAAACAAATTAGAATGAAGTTATCAATCAACTAGTGCATTAAAGTTATTCATATACTTATTACTTACCTATATAATACTAGCAGTTTCTAATAGAAAGTAAAAATGCTGCGAGTATTCAATTCATGTAAATAGTAATAGATACTTCAGTACATAAAATGTTGTACTGATTTTTAGTTTTAGTATTAAAGGTTGGTAGAAATGTATGATTTGGTGACTTATAAGAATGGGTTTCAAAAATTTTGTTTACAGTGCTACAAAACAACTTACTATAGACATGTTAGTAGTCGATCTTGTTTTATTGTTAACCACATAGGCTTCACAGTATTTAAATATGTAAAAAAAAATGTGTTATCCACAATAGCCTTCACAGTATTTAAATCTGTTTTAAAACAAAAAAATATTTAAAACTTTTAAATATTTTCTCAATATTTAAAACTGTTTCAGAAAAGTGGCTAAATGAAGAACATGCCTCACAGAAATTAAATCTGTTTAAAAACAAAATGGTTTATGCATATCATGCTTCTCAGTATTAAAATCTTAAAATAAAAAATAATGCTTTATTTACAACATGCTTTTCATTTTTTGAATAAATGCTTTATCCACAATATGTTTTTCAGTATTTAAATAAATGCTTTATCAACAATATGCTTTTTAATATTTAAAAATGTTTAAATACTACAGTACTATTTAAACCAGTTTCGAAATAGTATCTTCATCAGGTAAATGACCTAATCTCAGATCATTTCGTCATCGGCCGGTGTCATCCGATGATGTGCACCCTCTGTTGGTATTTGAGGTCTTTTCCGCGGGGTCCTGTGTTCCCTGGCTTGGTGTAGAAGGTCATCAAAAATATGTGATAGATTGTAGGCTCCTTATCTCCATTCATGTTGTTACTTTTCCTTTGCGATGCGATATGTGGAAGAAACTAAATTGTTTCTAAATAGTAAACCTAAAACATGCTTTTTGGTATTTAAATTGATTTAAAAAAGACTTTTTTCACAATATGCTGTTTAAAAAATGTTTTATATCGATAATATGCTTTAAGTATTAATAACAAATAAACCAAGGTTTTCAATAAAAAAAAAAAAACAGTTTCCTTTAGGCATTCATGCAGTCAAGAAGATTATTATTTGTACAATCATAAGGAATACAAAGTTCAGGTAAACAAAGGAGTTCATCTATGTGTTTTTGCTTTTCGGTATTAATAACAAATAAACCAAGGTTTTAATAAAAAAAAAAAAGCTTTTTTCCACAATATGTTTCTGACTAGTAAACCTAAAACATGCTTTTTAGTATTTAAATTGATTTAAAAAATGACTTTTTTCACAATATGCTGTTTAAAAAATGCTTACTTGCCCTCTATCGGTGGAGGGGCATGTCATAGGGGCCGTTCCCCAAATTATGACCTTAATGACCTTTGTGACCTTGGGCATAAAAAAATCATCATATGAAAGCATAATTTTATTCAACCAAACACATTTTATTTCTGTAGAAAACAACATATTCCACATAATGCGTAACATTTATGAGCATAGGAATTTTTTTAGTGTCGTTTACATGTGGTTTATGGAGAAAAAAGTTCCCTTTTTGGGCCCCGAAATTACAATTCTGGGGCACATGACCTTTGAGCTATTTCAAAAAGTCAAACAATTTTGCTATTTTTCAGAAGCCCAAAACATTTTACCCAACAATCAAACCAACATTTGCAGAAAGTCATAAAAATGTATTATGCGTTTTTCAGAAACCTATTCAAACCCCTTAAAGGGGCCCCAGTTACCTAGAATAGACCCCCTTGGGACTTCAAAGGGTTAACTCATCTTCAGAGGCCACTTGAGCTATAGTAACTATTCAGTTTTTAAAGGCTACACTATATAACTTTATATGAAAATCTGCAATGGTGGATCCAGGAAAATAGAGGGGAATAGAGGAGGCCCACAGAGGGACTTTCACAGATAGGCCTGACAACCTCAGCCCAATGATAGTTGTGTACTGTAAGTAGTTTCATGATATGGCATCTCTAGATGCACTCTCAGACTTAAATTTGATTGCAATTTTTTTTTTTTTTTTTTCAAATTTTAAACATTTAGGGGGAGGGGGGCTGGCTGGCTGGCTGGTTCTCCCTCCCCCACTCCATCTCTTGAATCTGCCTATTATATGTGAGTGAATCTGCCTATTATATGTGATTGGCCCATACATTACAGTTGTGATGCGATATGACGACATCATACCCATATATGGGCAAATCACAGATTTTAAGAAGTACATCATGATATTTATATTTTGTCATGTGATATTTTGTGTATATTTTTACAAAAATCTTCAAATTAGGCCGATATTGACCTTGCTGTAAAAGCGGCAAGAGAAGCCTTCAAGCTTGGGTCTCCGTGGCGACGACTTGACGTCAGCAAGCGAGCAGAACTCATGACCAGACTTGCTGATCTCTTGAAACAAAACAAGGACTATCTTGCAGTGAGCACATTATAGCTTATTTATGGTTAATAGCTTGTTATAGTACACTCGACAACCAACCAGGTTTTGTTTGAGCAAAATCAGAGATTGGTAAATGATAAAATTGATCATGTTGCTAATAGTACTTATGATAATAAAATACATAATAAAAATTACTATAATGAAAAATAAGAGAGTAATATATATTTTAATGTTAAATCAATATTTTAAAAACCATGAGACATAAACGACAACCTCCAAAAGAATTTATACAATCCATCGTGATTCAGTATTCTGTGGCATGAGAGCTATGATCTCTCACTGACTAAAACCAGGGACCCAAATCCTTAGGGGGCCCAGGATATTCATAATTTTTTGCCCCCATTTTGGTTATTTTTTAGAGACCCTTTTAAAGACCAAAACTGTAAAAACCAATCAAAATACGACATCTAAAACGCTGAAGCTGGTGGTCTTTTATTCCTGTATCCTACATGGGCTCATTGTGGCCCTTCCTCCAGGTAGGCTCTGAAGAAGCCAGCCAGACCTGGTCCTCAAGGCTTTTTGTTTAGCCACTGTTAATATTTTAAATACCATTCCTGACAATCAACAAAAGTTTAAAATATTGGATCACAATGGCTAAAGTATCACTTTATTCAGAGTTAGTTCCGTACTGTAAATCAGTTATTCTGTATATTATATACATTCATGTGGTTGTTTGCATTTTTTTTTTTTTTTTTTTTTTTTTTTTTTTTTTTTAGGGTTTTTTTAATATGTTTTTATTTGATGAATGCAGTACATAATTAAAAGGTACAATACATTTCAAAAGGATGGTAAACATTTTTATCAAAGTACCTTGTAAGATAGACTAGACTTCTAGATTACAAATTATTAAAACTAAGCAATGTTATTGATACAACTAGGTATCAATTTCCAATAATGGCATAAAAACCTAAGTATTTGTATTTTCTATTTATTTATAAAACGTTTTTTTTTTTTTATATATATTATTTCTAAAATAGTGAATTAAAAAATTTCTGAATCTGAATGTGCAGCAAGCTGTAAATGGGGCAAATACATTTCATGGTAAAAAATAATAAAATAAAGAAAAAAAATCACCTGATAAAATTATTTCAGTCTTATTTTGTTGAACTTATGCATTTACATATTTTGATGGTGTTTGCATTATCCCTATTCATATTTACATAGGTCGGCCATCTCATCCAGCAAGCAGCAGGCAAGAGCAACCTGAAGCGAGTGTCACTTGAAATGGGTGGTAAAAGTCCTAATATTGTGTTCGCTGATAGTAATGGTAAGCTTTTAATGATGGATGATGATAACAGACAGAGGCGGATTCGTTGGGGGGAGGGGGTGGGTATGCTATAGGCACTGCCCCGCTTGTATCCAAGTAAGGGAAGAAAGAAAGAAATAGAAAAAAATGGACACCCAAAACGCCTCAGAGGTTATTTTATGGGCGTCTAGAACCCAACAATTTTGCAGGGTCATGCGCCCAGTCCCCTTAGGGTAGTATTATCTCGATCAGTCCCACTTTTGAACCCCTTTCAGTGCTCCCCCTTTCATACATATCTGGATCCGCCCCTGGATAATGATTGATGTTTATAATGATGATGATAATCGTAGTCACATCATGATATGATGAATGATCATGAGGATTACGATGATCATTATGTGATTGAGTTCACTCTTTGCAATCCTTGGCCCAATCAATATATTGCATATTGATCAGCTTTAAATTTATGACTAAAAAAATAAGATGTGTGATTGTGAGCATTCATACACATCTCGGAAGTGGGAAAATGTTCACCTAATTTGGTATTTTTTATGATAGTCGACTTTGCGGTGGACGAGGCCCACGAGGCTATCTTTGGTAACGTAGGACAGTGCTGCTCAGCTGGCTCCCGTACTTTTGTCCAAGAGGGAATCTACGATGAGTTTGTCAAGAAAAGTGTGGAGAAAGCAAAGGCAAGAGTCATTGGAGATCCGTACATTGATGGCACGCAATCAGGTCCACAGGTAATTCATATTCAACTTGATAACATTTACTATATATATTTTCCATCATTTGAATACATTGCATAAGTTTAAGGAATACATTGCATAACTTTAAGGGATACACTGCATACGTTTAAGGGATACACTGCATACGTTTAAGGGATACATTGCATACATTTAAGGGATACACTGCATAAGTTTAAGGGATACACTGCATACGTTTAAGGGATACACTGCATAAGTTTAAGGAATACACTGCATAAGTTTAAGGGATACACTGCATAAGTTTAAGGAATACATTGCATAACTTTAAGGGATACACTGCATAAGTTTAAGGGATACACTGCATACGTTTAAGGGATACACTGCATAAGTTTAAGGGATACACTGCATAAGTTTAAGGGATACACTGCATAAGTTTAAGGGATACACTGCATACGTTTAAGGGATACATTGCATACGTTTAAGGGATACACTGCATAAGTTTAAGGGATACACTGCATACGTTTAAGGGATCCACTGCATAAGTTTAAGGAATACACTGCATAAGTTTAAGGGATACACTGCATACGTTTAAGGGATACACTGCATAAGTTTAAGGGATACACTGCATACGTTTAAGGGATACACTGCATACGTTTAAGGGATACACTGCATAAGTTTAAGGGATACACTGCATACGTTTAAGGGATACGCTGCATAAGTTTAAGGGATACATTGCATACGTTTAAGGGATACACTGCATACGTTTAAGGGATACACTGCATACATTTAAGGGATACACTGCATAAGTTTAAGGGATACACTGCATACGTTTAAGGGATACACTGCATACGTTTAAGGGATACACTGCATAAGTTTAAGGGATACACTGCATAAGTTTAAGGGATACATTGCATAAGTTTAAGGGATATACTGCATAAGTTTAAGGGTTACACTGCATAAGTTTAAGGGATACACTGCATAGGTTTATGGGATACACTGCATACGTTTATGGGATACACTGCATACGTTTATGGGATACACTGCATACGTTTAAGGGATACACTGCATAAGTTTAAGGGATACACTGCATACGTTTAAGGGATACACTGCATAAGTTTAAGGGATACACTGCATAAGTTTAAGGGATACATTGCATAAGTTTAAGGGATACACTGCATACGTTTAAGGGATACACTGCATACGTTTAAGGGATACACTGCATAAGTTTAAGGGATACACTGCATAAGTTTAAGGGATACACTGCATAAGTTTAAGGGATACATTGCATAAGTTTAAGGGATACACTGCATACGTTTAAGGGATACACTGCATACGTTTAAGGGATACACTGCATAAGTTTAAGGGATACACTGCATAAGTTTAGGGATACATTAAGTTTAAGCGATACACTGCATAAGTTTAAGGGATACATTGCCTAAATTTAAGGGATACATTGCATAAGTTTAAGTAGATTATATATCCTGTGCTCTTTAGTGTATGTAGTAATAGTCCTGTTTTTTTTAAATAAAAAATATGTAAAATTTTAATATTAAATAAAATAAATATGTCTTAATAAATAAAATATGTCCTAATGGGAAAATAAAATAATGTATACCAGTTCCTCTCATAGCTCAGGTGTTAATCTGAAGGATTTGTTTTCGAATCCTGATGGGGACAAATAGAAATATGTATCAAGTGTCAGTATTCATAGAGTTAAAAAATATACATATTAATATTTTGTTTTTGTAATCTAATGTTTTTAAATTGTAGATATATCGCTTTATATATATAAACGGGACACAAAGGCACTCCTGAAGCCTCCCCCACAAGGATTATGGTTATTGTTATTTTTTTTAAATTTGTAGTTAAGATTATCGACTGCTAATAACTCTCTAGGCATCTGTTTTGCGCCATGAACATCTTTGATGGATACTGGCGCATTATAAATGTACACCATTATTATTATTATTATTATTATTATTATTATTATTATTATTATTATTATTATTATTATTATTATAATTTCTATTCTAATAAATAGATTGACAAAGAACAGTTCGATAAAGTTCTTGACAAAATTGAATCTGGTAAAAAGGAAGGTGCAACATTGTCGTGTGGAGGAAATCGTCATGGCAACAAAGGCTTCTTCTTGGAATCAACTGTCTTTTCTGATGTCACTGATGATATGACTGTTGCCAGGGAAGAGGTGAGAGGTCAACTTGTTGTTACTTTACTTGGCAGTCCCAAGTCTCCAAAAGAGAATCGCAGTACAATTTAAAAGTCAAAGATTATGGATAAAATAATAATGATGGAGGACAACAATATTATCAACAAGAGCAATTGTATTAGCAACAATGACAATAATGATTATAAAATTTTTTCTTTTTTTATGAATTTAATTAGAATTTTTAATAAACTTTAGCATTAATATTACATGGTTTTGTTTCAGTGAATCAAAACCATATAATTATGTTAATTAATGTGATGCCTCTGTGGGACTTCGTCAATTTCAATCCTGATCCAGCACGTTTACATTCTTTTTCAGATTTTTGGACCTGTTCAAGTAATTTTGAAATTCAAAGACATCGAAGAGGTGATTGAGCGTGCTCACAAGACCCACTATGGCTTAGCTGGTGCTGTGTTTACAAAGAATCTCGACATCGCCATGACAGTTGCTCACAGCCTTAATGTCGGAACAGTCTGGTATTACAATACTCTTTAAGTTGTGTCCACAGTATTAAAATTCTATGTGTATAATTTTGTCATATCACACCCATTTACTTGACATTTGAAACTAGGTAGTGTGGACAGAGCTTTAAGGAAGTTTAAGAGATGATTACATTTTGGGAAAAACAGGTCAAGGGTCAAGGTCACAAAACAGGTCAAAGGTCAAGTTAACCAAGATTTTTAACCCCAAGCATAAAAATAATGGAATGGCTTGCCTGCATATTGTTTGGTATTCAGGCACAGAATGGAAAAAATGGAATCTCCTATCATACACCCTTGCATATTTTTCAGGCACAGGGTGGAAAAGAATGGAATCACCCATCATACACCTCCTGCCCATTATTCAGGCATAGGGTGGAAAATAATGAATTCACCCATCATACACCCTCTGCATATTGTTCAGGCACAGGGTGGAATATAATGGAATCTCCTATCATACACCCTCTGCATATTGTTCAGGCACAGGGTGGATAAAATGGAATTGCCCATCATACACCCTCTGCATATTGTTCAGGCACAGGGTGGAATATAATGGAATCTCCTATCATACACCCTCTGCATATTGTTCAGGCACAGGGTAAATAAAATGGAATTGCCCATCATACACCCTCTGCATATTGTTCAGGCACAGGGTGGAGGTATGCATGCTATAGAGTGACTGCTCTAGTTAAAATTGTGTTTGTTTACATTTTCAGGGTTAATTGCTACAATGTTGGTGGACCTTCAGTTCCTTTCGGTGGCTTCAAACAGTCTGGGTTTGGCAGAGACCTGTAAGTTTACCCCTTAGCTTTAATGTTCTACGCACAAGTGTTCATGTTCAAATTGTTGTTTAATTGATATAAGTGACTTTTTTAGGCACATGAGCCAAGGATTTTCACTTTGATTTCAATTTGACATTTTTTGATTAATTTATTTTTAGGGGAGAGGATTCATTGAAAGAATATCATGAGGTTAAGACAGTAAGTCACTTTCGTGTTTCAAATTTCTTACAGAATATATATTCAATAACATATTTATTTCCATATAAATATCCCAATTAAGTGCCTTTTTTCATTTAAGAGTTGTAACCATACTACAGTACTATACATGTTTTGGTAACGGTATTGTATACTACGATGAGGTTAATTTTCCAAGCTTCTCTCTCTAGGGCCAACTCCCATCTTTAACAAAACTCTTTTACCTAAGACCTCCCACACACAAGAGCTGTCTGCTAACTACACACATAGCTCTTTTGTGTTGTCGATTTTCTTGCGACTTCTGGCGTTTGTGGTGATCTTGCTGCAGACTCCAAGAAACACTTAATGGGTTTGGCTCTACCTCATACTGTAAATCCTTGTTGATTGTTTGATTGAAGGTCATACGTTGGATGTATATGATATTTTTCTTTCTTTTTAAAATGATTTTTTTAATGTTAATTTTTTTTTCTCACAGGTAGTCATTAAAGTGCCGGAGAAGAATTCATAAACTGTATTATTATTATTGCAATAATTCATAAAAGTCTTTTTCTGACATCATTGCAGTAGTTCTAAATGGATAATTTTAATAATGAAAATAAATTCAAGTTTTTGTTCTTGATTTCGAAAAGGCTAGTAATTTTCTTATTAATTAAATTTTAAAGATGTGTTTACATTCAAGTTGCTTCTTCACCAATAATTTTCAAAGTAAAAAACTATATACATTTTAAACTTTTTCCTTTTTTAAGAAAACCAGGAAACAGGGCTTTAATTTAGTCATATTGGTACAGAGAATTAGCAAAGAATGTTTTTTCTTATAACTTCAAAACACAGTATAATTATGTTTATGTGTATGTGCATCAATGATACATTCAAAAAGTAAACTTTAATCAGCGATAATTGTTTTGTGAAAATAAAAGTGTGAAAAACACTCTAAATGATTGTTCAAATGTTTGATTTTTATTTTGTACAGTACAATGTAATATATCTATGAGTGTCTCAGTAAATTTCTAAGGAGTGCATAAAGGGACAGGTTAGAAAAATATTAAATTATTTCGAGTGGATGAAATAATATTATTTCAAGGAAATAAAATCATTTCGTTCTCAAAATAATATTTCGTTTCCTCAAAATCATTTCGAGGAAACAAAATCATTTCGAGAGAACAAAATAATATTTCGTCCCTTCGAAATATATTTCGTTTTTGAAATAATATTTTGTTCCCCCAAAATAATGATTTCATTCCTCGAAATAATATTTCGTTCCTACAAAATAATATTTTGTTCCCTCAAAATAGTAAAATTTTGTATAATTATGGTACACCTACAGAGCAGACATTTGTTCGGCGCATATAGTATTTTGTTGCGACTTTATAATTCGGCAGCAACTACAGCATTCGGCAACTGGCATTTGAGGACTACGTCACTTGGCAACTACATCATTCAACAAATATATTACTTGGTGACCATGAAAAGGGGTAACACTCGTAATTTCCCACGTCTGCATATAAGACTATCTTTCTAAACTTTTTAAATCCTGCGCTTTCAGGTTGTGCTTTTACAATATACGTTTTACTTTTTTATATATAGTTAAATCATAAAATCAAGAAGTGTTGCATTATTGTATTGTGTTTTCTTTAATAACAGTCAGCAAGGTTTCTTGACAGGTCATCGCAGCCACTGTAGTTTCTTCATAATAATTGAGACAGCAATGTATGGAGCCTTCAAAGGGCTTTATAGAAGAAGCGTTGCATATGCTATAGCTCTGATATTTTAAATAAAGTAATAAGTGATAGAAACACTGCTCAAGTAAAGGAAGGAACAATTATGTTATTTACTTATCAAGCATAGGTGTCTTTGAATTTTTAAAAAAAAATCAAGGCTAGCCTTAACAATTTGTATGTAAACTGTGTCAATTTTATTCGATAACGTCGTGTTTCATTAGAAGTTTGTATGGCTTTTTTAAATGTTTAAATTGAATTTTTAGTGATGGATGTTTTTTCCATGTGTATTAGCGACGGTGAGCATTTTGTTGATTCCATGGTGTTTTGAGTGATGATATTTCCAAAAACCAACTCACGTATTCATGTCCCACATTTGGTCTCAAATTGGGCAAACTGCAACAAGTCTTCTGGTCCTGATGGTATACACATATTAAGAGGTATTGCTGAGAAGTCGGTAAAGTTAACACATTATTAGTCAGTCAATCATTCAATCAATTAATCAATCAATCAATCAATAGATTTATAAGGCGCATATTACAGCTGTCTCTATGCGCCAATAAAAAAAAATAGACCACTCTAGCTAATTCACCATATGCAATAGATAATAAACGGTTTTATGATACGGTTGCGGATGAATTATCTGATTTTAGAGCAAAATATGGAGAAAATGTATATATAGTAGGTGATTTTAATGGAAGGACAGAAGCAACTGATGAATGCCCCCAAAATTGGAATAATGACATAAAGAGGATGATGAAGTTATTACTAGAAGTAATGAAGAAAATATTGTACGGCTATGTTCAGACACAACGACTTACGCTAGCGTAACGTTGATCGAGTAGTGTGAACTTGTGCGCGGCATAGCGAACGCCATTATTGTATCGCACAATCACTGGCGTACGTTAATCCAGCAACTGACCCCAGATTAGCGTACGCCACTGAGTTACGATAGTCACGCATCAGTGATTTTGAACTC